CTTACTCAGGCTGTCCAGTCATAATTTTGTATCCTTTAACAAATCTCTCCCTAGTCTTCTCTTCTTCCTACCCTTCCCAGCCTCTAACACCCTCTGTTCTTTTAAATTCTTCTTCATGTTTTAAATGGATGGCCACAGTATCTGTTACATCAGGTTGCTATCAAAGTTAAATGGTCATATAGCTCTTAAAATAGTGCTTAACGAAAAGTAGGTATTGTGTTATTATTACAATTAATCTCCCCCCCAATATAATGTTTGGCAAAAACCTTGTACGTTTTTATTTTGTGAATTAAAATAATTTGTATAATATGTTGTCTGTTGCTGAACACATTTGTAAAGTGAGATTGGGATATTCGTTTGACAATTGACGCTGATACTCACCATAGAAATTTGTGAAGCATTTGTGAGCTTGATTACAATAGGACCACTTCCTTTGGGGGAAGTAATCTTCCAACTACCTTGCCTGGTTGTAACATGGAAGTTGTCATGCACGGAAGACATACCATATGTATAGATTCCCATGCTGTTAATGTTATTTTTCAAATATTGAGGCACTGCAAACATAACTAGGATGTGATTGGAATACATATTTGTTTGTTTTTGTTATTCCCCCTTAATTTTCCTCTTACTCACTTATAGTTTCAAACTCTGCTTTGGGAGGATGCTTCTGTACCGCAATTATGAGCCTGTTCATAGATTTCAAATGAGGTTTCTTCTTTCTTCCAAGGGGGGGTGGCATGAGGTATAGGGGAGGCCATCAAAGCGCAGCCTTGCCCAGAACGTTGATTACTTTGGGATGGGCTTGTGACTCGCCTGGAGCCAGGGAGATGCCATGAGACTTTTCCTGGCTCTTTGTTCCCATTAAACTTAGGTACAGAAGGTTGAGAGGCTAGAGATGTTACAGCATCTCACTACAACAAGGAGAGCATCTTTAGAAAAGTTGTCGCTATGGAACTCAGACCCATGACCCTGCCTAAAACTCGCCCCTGAACAGCCTAGACAACAAAGCATGAACCAATAAACTCTCTTCTTCCTTCCTTTTTTTTCTTTTACCATTTGGATTCATTTTTCTTTCTCTTGTAACCAAAAATAGATACCTGTAGAGCTGTGGCCTCCAATCCTGGGGGTTACTGACTCTCCACGGCCAGTTAGGAACTGGGCGACAGGGCTGTACAGCAGGAGGTGAGCAGCAGAGAGCCAGGGAAGCTGCTCCCCTCCAGTTCACCGCTGTCTGAGCTCTGCCTTCTGTCAGATCAGTGGCTGCATTAGAGTCTCAGAGCATGAACCTTACTATAAACTGTGCATTCAAGGGTCTAGGTTGTGAGCTCTTTATGGGAATCTAATGCCTGATGATCTGAGATGGAACTGAGGTGGTGATGGTAGATAGCAGAGAGGTCTGACTCACAGAGACCATAATAAATCAATTGCTGGCAAACTCCTATCAAAACCACTCCCCTTACTCAACCCCCACCCTGGGTTATGGTAAATTTTCTTCCATAAACTGGTTTCTGGTGACAAAAAGGCTGAGAACCACTGTGCTAGAATGACTAAAATATTCTTTCTGTCCATTTCTTCTCCTTGCCATTTCCAACAAATAATTTTTTTTTTTTTTAGAGATAGAGCCTTACTTTATCACCCTGGGTAGAGTGCCCATAGCTCACAGCAACCTCCAGCTCTTGGGCTCAGGAGATTCTCTTGCCTCAGCCTCCCAAGTAGCTGGGACTACAGGCGCCCACCACAATGCGCAGATTTTTTTTTGTTGCAATTTGGCTGGGACCGGGTTCAAACTGGCCACCCTGGGTATATGGGGCCGAGGGCCCTACTCACTGAGCCACAGGTGCCGCCCCCAACAAATAAATTTTTAAATGAAAATGATGAAGCTAGAATATATAAACAACGCTGTATATGGATTTAATAGTTAGAACTGTTTCTGATTATAATTGGTGCAAGTGCCTTATTTTTATTTTATCCTAATTTTAGGTTTTAGTTGCATGAACAGGTATCTGTTTGTGTGACTAATGATTACAGATTTTTGATGTCATACTTTGCGTTTAAATCCTGCCCGGATGATTTTAGGAGTCTTTCCCTAATCTCAGTATACCTCCTCTCCTCAGTTTTCAAAATAAAGATAACAAAAGCATTTTTCTTATCGAGTCGTGAGGAGAATGAAATAGTATAGTGTGTGCAGACATCTTAGGCCAGTAACTAGCACTTGGTTAAGTCCTCAAATCTTATCACAAGTAGTGGCAGAAAGACTCGTACTTAGGATCTCACTGGCTATCAGTTCTTTTTTTCTCATGGCTTTTCAGTGACTTCAGAGATAAAATTGGTATCTCACTGGGTCAATTTTATTTTTTCTAGGAAAAGTTGACTTACATGACATGAGTCATCTCTTTATTGAATTAGCAAAGAACTTTATTGGATTTCAGATACTCTAGACCTGAGGCCGTATGCGAGACTTTCATTAATATAATTGCTATTTTATAGAAGTTCTTATTTTTGATCTTCTGTTTACAGTCATGTGGCGCTTAACCATGGGGATATATTTGGAGAAATGTGTCCTTGGGCAGTTTGATCATGCGGGGACATCATTGAGTGTGCCTACATGAACCTAGGTGGGATAGCCTGCTACACTCCTAGACTATATACGTGGTGCAGACTGTTCTTCCTAGTTACTACCCTGTATAACATGTTGTTGTACTGAACACTGCAAACATAGGCAACCTACGGCAAAAGGTAAAAAGACAGTACTATAATTTCTCAGGACCACCGTCACACATGCAGTCCTTCATTGGCTGAAAAAGACGTTCTGCATCACTGCCTTTTCTTTTTACTTGCAATTTGAATTATTTACAGTGAGTAAATGACTTTCTGGCTTAGTAAATAAAGAATTTGAAGAGAAACATCATTGGTTAACACAATTCATACCTGAAATCAGGAAAGTTTTAACGGTCAGTTCTAAGAAAAGCCTGTCAAAAATGCGAGCTCCATTGCTGAAAGCTTTGTGCTGTCTCAGACGCACGTCTCTGTGTGTACGTTGGGAAGGTGTTTCCGCTCACAGCTCCTCCGCCCTCTAGTGGTAGTTACAAAAACGTCACTTTGTAGTCCCTGTACAGGAAATGCCAGTTCTTACTTCAGTTACCAGAATCCTTTTACAGGAAGTTAGGTGTGGTCTTTGAAGAAGAATTAAAAAAAAAAAAAAAAATTTTTTTTTTTTTTTTTTAAAGCATGATGGAATTTTAACTGCAGTCTTCTTGATGCCAGCTTATCAATCCCAAACTCTGGGTGTCAAAGATTCTGCAGGGGTAATGTTTTAATATTCTTACTATGCTTATTCTCTGTGATGCTTCTCTACCTTTACAGTAGAATCCTGGGGGAAATCTGCAGGGGGACCACTTTCATTTTGAAGCTGCTGGCTGCATGTTTTAGCATGTCTCTTCTATTAGAGCATCCAGGCACGGCAGTTTCCTCCCCCGAGTGTGCAAGGACTATCATCATGCCTATGCCTTTTGCTAGCCATGAGGGTCTCTGGGGATGGGTGAAAATATGGGGGATGTTTTGGAGGTCCTGTGATACTGGGAGGGTAGTCTGCCAGCTGGAGGCTGAAAGGTCCTGGTCTACTTCAAAAAACAATTTTTAATGAAGCTGTACAATAGATGTGCTGTCTTAGATCTCCCCATTTTATCTGGTATATGCTGCAGAAATGAACTGCATAGCAACCCATTTCACTCTTAGAAAATGCATTTCACATATTTAACTGGCAACTCTCATGCCTATGGTGTGGGAGTTAAATGGATTTTTTTTTTTTTTTTACAAGAAGAGAAAAAGAAGAAAAAATAGATTAAGCGATTTTGTACAGATGGCATCCAGTAGTCAAAATTTTGGTTGTATTGTTTCAAATGGCATAGAAACTCCTGCCACTGGTTCAGATGGATTTTAAATGATCGAGTGCTCTGTTGACTTATCTACTTTAGTTTGGTAAAATATGGTTTGAGTATCACTAAAGCTCCATTATTTTTGTTACTGCAAAAACCTATATAATAAGAGTTTGCTTAAAAGATAAACTATCTCAAACAAGCCCAAATTCTGAAATGGACCCTCAGACTGCTGTGCCAGATTTTTGTGAAATGGGTACCATTTGAGAAAGTGGGCTGCCTCCACAGTATTTCCTAAGGTATTGCAAATTCGTTGATTTCAGAAGTAATTACACTATGTAGCAGCAGGTTGCTATGCCAGGGGGGTCCAAGTTACAGACCTCTGACGTGGATGACTTCCTGCCCGGTTTGGCAGGAGCTGAGTCCCTTCCTGTGTAGCTTCCGAGCAGTTGCAAACACAAACAGGCATATTGTGCTCCTGCCTTTTCCCCAGCTTTCAAGCAGCACCTATCTATGTTTCCACAGGCTGGCATTTTTGGATTTCCAGAGCTCTTTATCAGGTGTATTGCTTTTGAATAAACTCTTAAAGATAGTAAAGTCAGCCAAAAGGTATGTGGGAAAAAATGGAGACATACATGCACGAGCCCCACACAGCCAAGGTTCTACAAATTGTGTGATGTTTCATCTCTTGTTTTGGATCTCTGATATTTTTTTAGAAAGATGCTGAGAAAGATGGCTGCCAAAATATTCATAGAAGTGAAACAGCAAGCATAAACCAGCATCCTCCATTTCTGAGCTCTGGATTATATATTTCCCCCCAACTACCATAATTACTTAAAACATTTTGGGAGTGGGAGATTAGATTACCTCATAGACACCTACTGAATGTGAAAGACAGGTCTCCATGCAAGCAAATGAATGCATGGATGAGGATTTCCTGAATGCCACACACAGCTTCCTTTGTGAAATAATGTAGCTCTCTTGCTTTATGTACTTGAGCTCAGTGCTCAGTGTCTCGTAATTGCCACTTGTATCCTAATGGTCATTGCTTTTTCTCCCCCTCTCTTTCTGTAGAACTTTCTTATGCAAAAAGCTAAACAGTGATTAAAAGAGCAGGATGAAAAGATGGCACAGTCAGTGCTGGTACCGCCAGGACCTGACAGCTTCCGATTCTTTACCAGGGAATCCCTTGCTGCTATTGAACAACGCATTGCAGAAGAGAAAGCTCAGAGACCCAAACAGGAGCGCAAGGATGAGGACGATGAAAATGGCCCAAAGCCAAATAGTGACTTGGAAGCAGGAAAATCTCTTCCATTTATTTATGGAGACATTCCTCCAGAGATGGTATCAGTGCCCCTGGAGGACCTGGACCCCTATTATATCAATAAGAAAGTGAGTTCTTAGTCAAGTTGCCTTTCATTCTGCTGTTTACTAATTGAATTGGTTCTGGGCTAGTCCCAGGGATGATGGTGAAGAATGTGTGCCTCCTTCCCTCTGTCAAAAGTATCAGTAGAAGGCTGAGTGGGCCTGACTATGCAACCAGCCAATGATCCTAGAAGTCTTTTGGAAGCACAAATTTGAACCTGCATTTTTGGGACAGGGCGAGAACTGATGAGGCATCCTCCAGAGTGGGGATTGAGAAGGGCAAAAGCCTGTTCAGCTTTTTGAATACAAATTATATTTTTAAATAAATGCAAGCAGACCCTTGATTGTCTTACAATGCTGAGAATTCAAAAGGGTCAAGTAGAAGTATATTTTTATTTTGTTATATATATATATATATGTATATATATATTTGCAAGAGTAGCATATAAATTCCTCTTTACAGTCTCTAGCTTTTTACAAGGGACTTGGATCTTCAGCAGGTTTTATTAAGCCTTCATAACATAGATTTTCTTCTTTCCATTGCTCTCCACAGAAGATCTAATAGCAGGTGACCTGTACGTCACCCTGAAAAGAGTTTGAGCAAAGAACACACGTGGAAAACCCTGAAGTTTTCATGAGAAAATCACTTAGCTGAAAAAAAATGTAAACAAAGCCTCCTTTTTATGCTTCATGTGAATTATAAATCCCATTTAAAAATACATACATGAGAACTTGATAAGGATGCTAAGATTTCCTAAAACATTGACCACATATTTTCTTTATATTCTCCTTTAACTCTGCATGGGAGTTACCAAATTTAAGAAAGTTTATAGTGCTCAAAAAGAGAAAGCATCTACTGGGCAGTGCCTGTGTGTGGGCTAAAGGAGTCGGGTGCCGGCCCCATATACCAGAGGTGGTGGGTTCAAACCCAGCCCCAGCCAAACACTGGAAAAAAAGAAAAAGCATCTATCATCACATCATGTATTGATCATTTTTATAGGGCAATATTTCTAAATAATGGTCTCAGTTTTCTCTTAAAGTGTCCTCAATGTATATTCTAAATTCTGTTTTGTGTGTTTTGTTTTCTTTTTCAGACGTTTATAGTATTGAATAAAGGGAAAGCAATCTCTCGATTCAGTGCCACCCCTGCCCTGTACATTTTAACTCCCTTCAACCCTATTAGAAAAATAGCTATTAAGATTTTGGTACATTCATATCCTTTTAAAAATAGTCAATATGATTTTCTTCTTTGACTAAATTGTTGATCTGTGCATTTCTCAAAATATATGGTTGGCGATGTTCTGTGCTCTTTCTTTTTCTTTCCTTTTGTTCAACAGTTAGCATATCATAAAATGGGATTGTAGGTAAGTGAACCACTTTCCCCCGTTTTCCAAGTATTTCTCCTCTACCTGACTGAGTCCTTCTTTCTTCTTTCATCCTCTGCTCCCCCCTGAATCACTAGTTACGTTCAAGGCTTTTTCATAAAGTTCGATGCTATTACCAGCCTCTCTTTTTTTAATTTTACAATGTTATATAAGGGAGTAAACGCTATGAGCTAATTTTCTTTTCTGCTTCTACATTTGGCACGTAAACATACATAATCTGAATTGTGATTCTATATATTTGGGGTTGAATTTTACCACTTGCTGCTCTTGAAACCTTTGAGTTAATAAATGTTTACAATTGTGTCTGTATATGTACTGGCCTTTCAAATGTTTTTCCAAATTCCTTTCCCAGCCGTTTCCTATTGACTTCCTATTTTTTTTTCTTCTTGTCTCTTGTTGTTAAGTTTTATTTCAGTTACAGCTCTTGCTATATTTCTATCTCTCCAGGGGCTTAATATCTGTCTATCCGTGTACACCCTCATTTAATTCTTTATTCTCCTTATTGAAGTATCTGCTTTCCAGAAAGGGGAGTGATAACATCTTGGTAGTAGATAGCAATTTGAATTACTCTTTGAAGTTAAATAGAGTAACTGGGAATGACAGGTTTTATTCCAGGCCAGAAACTATGGTCTGGCTGACAGCCAACCCCGGGAATGCTGAGGCAGGAAAGACTTAGAAGACTGAGGCTGGGCTGGGCAGGGGCACTTACAGAAAGAACACAGAAGTCTTGGGCTGAGGAGTGATAGGCATTGGGAACTCAAGGTAAAGGAAACTTCAGACAAGGGAAACTGAAATTTAAACAAAGCCTTAGATAGGACAGAATGTTCTTCCTTCTTTAGGAAGAATCATTGCTTGGAATTCCATTGCATGGTCAGCCTAGGGCTTGGTTTTAAGGCTTGCAGTATAAAAGCTTACCACCTGATAGCAGGCCCAGAAAATATTTGAATTGGGTGAAGTAGGGGATTAGATATGGTAGAGAATTCAGGAAATGGGATAAGCTGGTGCAGGGTATTCGTCTTACTTCTAGATGAAGATGCAAAGCATGTCCCCAGGCTTGCCTGGCAGGATGCCAGGGGATGTCCTTAGCAGCATGGCACAAATCTCCTCTTAATCTCTAGTGTTAACCCTCCCTGCAAGGTTTGTATATATGTGTGTATGTATGTACACAATATATATATATATATATATCTCAACCTATTGTATATATATATCAACCCATATATATATATGTGTATATGTATGTGTATATATATATATATTTCTCAACCTATTTTTGTTTGATAGCAATGTATTAAGATTTAATAATTTCTTATGCATTTACCTTAAGCAATGCTCTTTCCTTTACCTCCATATCTCAACCTATTGTATATATATATATCAACCCATATATATATATATGTGTATATGTATGTGTATATATATATATTTCTCAACCTATTTTTGTTTGATAGCAATGTATTAAGATTTAATAATTTCTTATGCATTTATCTTAAGCAATGCTCTTTCCTTTACCTCCATTTTTTTAAAAAAGAGAATTTAGTCTCATGGAGAGAAAAAAATTGCCTTTGAGTCAGCATTAGAAAGAATACTAAAGTGGTAATTAATATTTGGTCTCCTGAATTATAAATTATAATCTACTATTATGTTTCAAATATTTATAATTTGTGCACTGAATAAATCATTCCACAAAATATTTACTATATTTTCAATTAATTATATAAACATAGTTTATAAAGTTATAGAAAAAATTCAGACTTATGCTATGTTCGTAGTAGATACTAGGAGAATTTGTATTGAATAAATAAGCGATAAGTAAGAGTTAGAAAATCAGATACAAAACAAATGAAAAAAGAATGGATCAGAAATACTTATTTCTGCATCTCAATGAGATGAAATAAAGAAAACTTAATGTTTGGAAAACCAGAAGATTTTTTATTTAAAACTTTGTGAGAAGATCGTGTATTTCTTTGGAAATCTCATAAATTGTCCCTACTCACAAAACATCCTGAATCCCAACTTAAGATCCATGGAAAAAAGACTCCTAGTGGTAGACAGTAGGGGCAGTTTAGAAATACTGATCAGAGAATCTGAGCATTGAAGGCACTGTTTATGCTGGGAGCCTTTAGAACCTGGGGGCTTTTATTAGCTTCCCGAAAGGAAGAACTCAATCTCCAAAGACCAAAGTTGTTAGGAGGCCTACAATGATAGAAATCGCTATGTGAAGCCAATGCCAAGTTGAACTGTTGGCCAACCAGGTAAATCTGTTAAGTCATGCCAAGTTGAACTGTTGGCTCTCCTAGATGTTTACAAGGCTTATAACCACAATTTCTTGCAATGTAGAAAATTAGATTTCTTAAAAAATCTCTTATTTCTCAAATTAAAATATATTTCTGGTGTCTTTTCATGGAGTAGAGCTATAAGAAAAGACAAGGCAGATAGGCTAGTATTCCAAGACAGATAAATCTTTCAGTTTTTGATGAGGCTGGCACAATTGATCACTAATCCTAGGAGACTTAGATGCATATAGTCCTGTGGTTTGTAATCAATTTACGTAATGATTAATGCAAACCCTAAAGTCAAATCCTGATTTTTTGACTTTAAGTGTAATGTCCTTTACTGTAAGTCAAAAATGTTGAGAGATGGCATGGTAAATTTAGGCACAATTGGGAGGTCATTGTGTTTTTACTATCTTTAACTTAGAAACAAAAAAAGGCCATTCACAATAAAGAAACCTGTGTTTTACAACTGGACTAATACCTCTATTTTGGTTCTCTTTGTTAGGAGCGGTTGTGTATCACATTAAATTGTATTTTGATTTTGCCAATATGAGAAGTTATGCTTATAATATTTTTACCAGGGCATATTTTGAAAGCTGCAAATTCTTTTGAGGTGCCCAGTATCATGTTTGATAGTTAAAATATGATTGTATTTTTTAGATAGCCAATAAGTTAAAAATAATTCACGTTCCTAAATTCCCTACCAGAGTTTTAAATGTGTTCCATCTAGGGTTCTATTACTTAAACTTAATATATTCACACTTTTCTTCTTTTCCATTTGTTTTCATTCATTTGTGAAGTCTTACTGAGTGCCTACCTAGTGGCAGATATTCTTGTAAGCACTGAGGTGCAACATTGAACAAAACAAAGTCTCTGCTCTCAGGTACTTAAATTCATACATATGTGTGTTTGGGAGGAGAAAACAATAAACAAATACATCATATAGAAGTATAGTGATAAGAGCTACTAAGGGAAAAAAATCGTGTAAAGAAGAGTAACATGGAGTCTTTTGGATGCGATGGCCAGGGAAGTCCTCTCTGAAAAGAATCCATGTGAGCTGAGATCTGAAGGAAGTGAGTGAGTGAGACGTGGAAATCCAGAGGAAGTGTGTCTGGGGGCAACAGCAAGTCTGAAGGTGGAAGTGCCCATTGTATGTTTAAGAATCAGCCAGGTGGCCAGAGTGGCTGGAGCAGAGTGGCAAAGGCAGGGAGCAGGGGAGATGAGGTCCATGAGAGAGGCAGTTGGAAAGTTGCAGGTGAGATATAGTGAGGACACCAGATTCACTCTGAATGAGGTAAGGAGAGATGATGAGAGGGTTTTCAGCAGAAGAATGTCATGACCTGACTCCCATTTTGAAGAGCTCACTCTGGTTGCTTTGTGGAGAATAGACCGTAAGTGGGGAAAGAACGGCAGTAAGGAGATAGACTGAGGTCAACTGTCAGGAAGGCAGGAGACAACTGCAGCCTGCACTATGGTGGAAACATGAGGTCTGTGCAATGTCATCGAATTCTGAAGCATTCTGTGGGTAGGATTTGCTGAGCAATTGGATGTGGGACATAAGGGGGTGAGAGGCACCAAGGATGACTTCATGTGCGTTCAGTCTGGTCAAGAAATAGAAATGTAGTTGCTTTTCACAGAGCTTGGGAGAACAGGAGTGGAGCGACTTTGATGGGTAAAACCAAGAGCCTGGCTGTGAACGTGTACTGTTGGAGAAGCCTATTGGACACCCAGCGGAGGAGTTGAGCAGTTGGATGTGCAAATCTGTACTTCGGGACAGTGTTGGGCTAGACGTGTCCCACTTTGGGAGGTGTCAGCAGATGGTATTTAAAGTCATGGCACTGGATCAGGCGCCAAAGAGCTGAGACATTGCAAAGTCCACAACTAAAGCTGAGCTACCAGTCATTCACAAAGGGGAGGAAAATGAAATGCTTGGGTTTCGGTATCAGAAAGCTTGGTTTAAACTTCTGAAATTTACTTTCTAGCTATGTGACCTTGAATCTTAGTTTCTCCATCTGTCCCCCTGTATTCATAGTTTAGACATACACAATATTAAAATGTGTGATAAGCACCTAGTACCAGGACCCATGGCTAGTACTTTATAGATACTTGTTAAAAGTACCCATGACAGCTGTTCTTGGTAGTAGCCACAATTATAGCAAAAACTACTGCAAGCAAAAAGACATTTCTCATATTTCATAAGGAATTGAATAAAGAATTCTATACACACCACTGCTGTCTTCTGGCTTGACATTGCAAACAGAAGGTTTATATGGCACCAGAGTTTGGGCCATAGGTAATCAAAACATAATGTAGTCAATCTCAACTGTCTCATTTTGCAGATGAGTTGAGGTCTAGAGGTCTGTGGTCCCTTTTAAAGCTAGATGTTATGTTAGTGCAGACTAAAACTTCAGACTGGATCTTCTGATCAGTTTAGCGTTCTTTGCATTTTCCACTATAGAAGAAAATAGTAGGTTTTTGAGACACTCTCACTCTGTTGCCCCAGGCTAGAGTGCTGTGGCCTCATAGCTCACAGCAACCTCAAACCCCTGGGA